ATATATCGAAAGCCACGGCCCTCGGCCTTCTGGTCTTACAACGAGTGTCCAGCCAGTAGGTGTCTCCCCCGAAGGTCTGGCCTCGCCATCGGACTTCCATCGGGGTACTTATCGCTGACCGAGCACAACCCTAGTCTCAGCGACGTCTCCTTCGCAATGACGTAAAGAGGAGATTACCCTCACAGGGTCGTTCTATAGTTATGGGGATAACCGTTCGACGGCCGGTACAGCTCACATCGAAGGCTACATGGTTCACATGCATAGATTGATCATACCTCAAACAACAACAATTAATCATTGCATAAGAATTTTAGAATAACAGCCCACCTGAAAGCAGCGACAATTCACAAGTATGAGGCTCGAATAAATGGTGAGGTCAACACCTCAAAACACCTACACGAAATCAAGATAGCCTCTCGATTACAAACCAATCCAGTGAACACACAAACTTAATCGAAACTCGTCGACTAAGTGTCTCATGGAAAGTCTCGTGGAGTTATTGAACATTTGACTTAACTCGAAATCATTATGGGAAATTCAACTAATATTCAAATAGGGGTTGACTAAGTCAAACAAAGGTCAAAGGAGTTAACTGGGGTCAACGGTTCGGAAAATAGTCTGAAGACCGGGGTACTAATTCGGGTTATCTCAAAATCCACCCGAGGGTTCGACTCCAAATTTTGAACACTTATAAATCATAAAAAAAGAGCAGCATATATGAAAAATCACATAGAAAATCATATTTCAACATTATGAACTAATATTGTAAAATATGACAAGTAAATCACATATTCAAGATGAGAACATTACTGAGAACATCAAAACCACCAAGTTTCAACCCTAACACTTAAATATGTGATTTTATAAAATTAAAACAAGATTTCAGCAAAAACAAGTGTGAATTTAATGACTGACCTAATTAATGATTTAATGTAATATCCCGATATTTTATCGATATAAATTACGTTTTAGTTCCGATATAATAATGTTATCGTTTATTATCGTCGGAATTAATTAAGTTCAGACGAGATTACCGAAATTTATTTTCGACGTACCGTTTACGTCCGAAATAATTTTGGTAATTAAGCATTATGTTAATTAAGTAATTAAGCATAAATTGAGTGATTAATCATAATTAATCACTACCTTAGATCATAAAAGCCGTACTTAAGAGGCATTTTTTCCCAAAATTGTGCAATTGCCGTGACTTTCCTTCGGCCATAGGAAATGATTTTTCAACCAATCAAGATTAACCACTTGTCAAGCCAAGAGAATGCTTAGTCACACCAAAAGTCCATAAGAATCAAGCACATGTTAAGAGTGGGAGATGGCCACGCCATGTGCACATCATCACCATCCCACACGGCCATGAATATAAAAGGAAGACATTAGTTCAATTTTTCCCCATTTTTCCCATTAAGAGAGAACATCATCTTCAGCATATAATATCCCCTATAGCAGCCTTCAGAAGTTAGACATATTTCCAAATTTCCATCAAACGCACGACCAAGAATAGAACCATCGCACGGCATAGCTAGGTACCGCACGGAGTACGCGAGTGAAGAGGACACGCCTTATTCTCCAACTTCAGTCGAGCAATTCAATAGTTTGAGCAGGCAGCAGCACTTCCTTTCAGTTCAGCAGTTCAGGTGGGGACTCAGACTACATACTACATTGATTATAATTACAGTACCATGTTTGAGGTATGTATTTCAGTTCAGTATCCGCTCGGAATGGTCGCCGGTCCATTCTG